TACATCGATCGATAGGATAAGCAAAATCAGATTGAGTCGTCCACTAGAACAAAAGACCCTCTCTCTCTCTCTCTCTCTCTCTCTCTCTCTCATGCCAGCGCCCCGCCCGCCGCGGCGATGCCTGTAGCTTGTTGGTGTTAAAAAAAGGATTGTTGAATTGCTCGGTAACTTAGTAGTTACGACTTCTCCTAAATTTCCTTGAGTTTTCTTAATTGACTCTCAGCCGAAGCCGGGTAATGGCCCCGGTATTTCACATATTTTGTATAATTCCAGATGGGAGGCTGGGCCTGGTTCCCAGCACGTGTGGATCCCTACAAATAGATTGGAGTAATTGTTCCAAAAAAAAAAAAAAAAAAAAAAAAAATCTCTTTTCACTAGGGACGCTGGACCAGATTTCCATCAGGTGCTGCTCCCCACCAATAGAATGGAGCCACAATCCAGGCTCTTATCATCACTGCTTGGCGGGTGCTCTTTTTTTTCCGTACATCTTTCTTTCTTCTTCTTTTGCTTCCTTTGTTTTTCTCTCCTCTCAAATTCATTCTTTTTTTTTTGCAATTGGATGGAATAAAAACAAAAGCAAAGTCGGAGATGACAATTCTCCGCTGTTCTGTGAGGAAGTACTCACACTAGTACGTTTCTGAATATATCTGACTGCAATTACAGCCTAGAGGTAACCCCATCGAACTAGCTGACCCTTGGTAGCCCAGAAGCGTGATACTTCACTCATCTGCTTCCACTGCCCACAGTGGAGTTTGAACCCCGGTCTGTGGCGGAAGACCACAAGCCCGCCACTCGCATGCATCATGTGTGCATTCGCGGAGTGGCATTTTTTGCACTCGCTGGGAAATGACAGGAGGTTAGTGGTCGGGATTCGCTTTGTGGACGACGTGTCCCTTTTTGTGGCCTACAAAAAGGGAGACAGGAGATCGATAGCCAAAGCGGGCGATATCAGGGGTAAATTTGAAAAATGCTACCCCAGGAACCTTACTCTGAAACGGACCGACGACAAAATAGGAACATGGGACTTCCTTGGGTGCCGGTTGAGGGTAAGGCAGGTGTTCCCGTATTTGGGTAGTCTGCAAAAAGTGAAAAACGACGCTACCATTTGGACTGACAAGCCCCTGTGCATAAAAACAGGGCAGGACTTTCGATCGTGATCCAGTAAGAAGCAGAAGGTAGCGGCTGTTGCTGGCTGCTTTCACCGTTTGGAACGCAACAGCACCGAACGGAGACTGATACTGGTCCAAGTACTGCTGATTCGACGAGAATTCCGGGCAAAAGACTTCCCGGATAGCTTTTTTCAGAAGGTACTGGAGGGCTTTGCAGAGAAGGAGGACGCAGTCTGGAAACTGACGTCGCAGCTGCTCAGATTGTCGTAGCTTTCGAGATGTTAGTCGCCTTGTGAACGTGAATCGGGACATTTTGTTGGCTTGTTTAGCTTTGTTTTGTTTTGTTTTTGTTTTGTTTTATTTGCTGTTTTGTCGTTTCCTGTCCAGAGTGTTTCGGTATTACCGAAGGAACAGCGGGGAGATTGGGATTGTCGTATAGGAATTTCTGGGGGAAACCAAGTAGTATATAGGCATAGTCAAAAGCTGTAATACTCCTCTAGGACAACAGGTATGACGCCGACTACAGGTGCGCCTTGTGACGCCCCGGTAGGGAGCGAACTTTTTGGGGTTGGTGGAAAGTGTGGAGTTGTGTTCGGGTCGGAGAGAGGCGGATGAGCTAAAGTGGGAGTGATAACGATGTAACTCGCAACCACTGCGAACATTAGACTAGGAGCTCATTATCACTGTGTACTGTTGTGTACTGTTGTTCTTGTCTTACGCTCCAACTGGAGTGTTTCGAACTACGATCATACCTTGTAACTGGTTTGAATTCTGAACGCTACGTATCTGATATCGAGCTGGACAAGTACGGGTCGTTTCTACGATCATACTTTGCCACTTGTTTGATCTCTGAACGCTACGTGTTCGATTTCGAATGCTGTGCGCAAGTACGGGTCGTGATATTATCTGTCAGTTCTCATAATCATCCGGGTCTGTATTTGAACAGTTCAGGGGTGTACCAACTATGGTAGGCCCGCTAGTAGAGCAAAACTAGGGAACGCTGGCTTTGTGTATTTGCACTTTGGAATTGGAAACGATCGTAACAGCCCCCCCTAGGGTTTGTATTAACTTTATAACTAGGGAGATCCAGACTCTGTTGTTTGAGGCCAGTAGGTTGTCACTGTGGCGCAGGCCAGGAGTGGAGTCCTTTTACGGTTCCCCATGCTGTGTGCCTGGGCACCGTAGGCGGCGTAGGCATTTTTCCTGCAGAAGGCCCACAGTTGAGGCCTGTTGATGCAGTGCGTCAGCCTCCCTCGGCTTTAGGCAACTATTGCAGGGCTGAGTTGGCCGCCTTCTCTCATGCGCCTCTTCCGTCTTACTTTTCGAAGTCTTTGCTTGCCCGTGATGAGCAACCGGACTGCCCCCCCAGAATAGATGAGGCATCTGTGATGTGTGAAGAAGAAAAAAAAGAGAAAAAAAGCACACATTTATTTGAGTGATAAGTTGATAACTGTATTCAACACAGAAAGAGAAAGCCCAAACAGGGCAAAAGCAGCTCTCATTTCCCGTTGTGAATACAGAAGAAGAAACGGCTGTGGAACATACCTCCGCGCGCTTGATGGCTAGCTCACCCTGGAAGGCTGCAAGATCATACATGGAGATGTCATCCAGAGCAAACTTCGGTGTGACTAAGACAAACATGTCGGTCTCCAGCCCCAGATGAAGAACATCGCAGTCCCTGAGTGGGTGCAGTGTACCTGTGCTACGAGTTGCAGAAACAAAGCCATTCAATCCACATTTTGAACCAAACCACGAAATGTCAGTGGACATCTCAATTTCCTTAGAGACAGAAGCGCAAAATAATGAGAGAGAGAGAGAGAGAGAGAGAGAGAGAGAGAGAGAGAGAGAGAGAGAGAGAGCTGTCTCTTATACACATCTAGCACTAGGTCTTTCCAGGATGTATATGACAGCGTTTCCGATCCGGCCTCGATGCACCTGACCACGACTACGACTACAGACAAGTGGCAAAAGTCCTTGTGTGAGTATGCTCTCACAGAACAGCAACACAATTTTTTCCCTATTTTCGGATGATGCCCCAGACAGAAAGCCTC